CGTTAGACTGTGAGAAGATAATCATTTGCATTATATCTTGAACTATAGAGCTCAAGCCTCTCTATCTAATATAGATGTCGAAATGATAATTTCATTGCAACTGCATTGTATTATTATGCATCTTTTGGAAAGATTCCCAAAAAGAATTGGTTAGCAAATGATTTCATCTTGCGTAATATTATGTCAAAATATGCTCCAACTCAGTCTCTTTCCATTGATGAAAACCGCAGATTGCTAACTAATAGCGTTCTGGAGATATTCGTCACATACCAACCCACATTTAATTCTGGCATCGATAATGGTCTGTGTCATTTCTATGGAAGTATAGGTTCCCGTAATGTTTCATGAAAAAAATTCAAACAGTGATCCATGTCTTTTTTTTTCTTAAGGATTGATATAACGATCAAGAGTTTGATTTGTCGTTAGTATTCTATCAGAGATTAATGAAACAGTATGATATTGAAACCTACAATTATGTATTGTTTTTTTTATGTTATAAAATGCTCTTTGTACCTTTGACTGCTGCATTTCACGTTGAAAATGGCTATGATATATATTACATTGCAGTTTTTTTAGACTTGTCCGTTTTTTGATTCACGGTGAGATTTTCTTTTTTAGCGAATCTGATCTCAAACGTACTAAATTATTGTCTCATCTCGGCACACTTTGCAAGTACTCGGAACTAACTGTATAATAGGCTACTCGAATTTACAGTTTCGAGGAAAGTAGATTTTTTTTGAAAAGAAGCTTATTAGCAGAATTACATCATTGAAAAAGGGTCATTTGCTGTATAGAACTGACGATGCTGTCTAATTTGAACTAATTACATTTCTTTTTGTTGGACAGATTGAAAATATACTTCAAATGCTGTTAAATTTATTGGTTTTCTAGTAAACGAATATTCATAAGTGAACAGTAATGTCGATATTCTTGTAAGAAAACGAATTTGTTGACAATTTACTCATTGAATATAGGCGTTTATCGCATAGTATCTATCAAACCACAGGTACCAGTAAGTGAACAATATTCACCAAAGTTCACGAACATTACACACTGCATATCTCTTTCTCTCTCCTATACTCTATTTTTACCTAAGTAGAGCGATCCACCTATATTCCTTCAATACAAATATACAAGATCTCAAGAGTCTTAATTACATTAGCACTCCTGCACTAGATGACTCGATGCACAATGAAGACTCATTGGATTTTTCGAAACACCTACAACTATTCATCTACTCTTTCTAAATGTAACTTAAAAAACACGAGTTGATTCAACAAAAATTAGGCTCCAGCTACAAGCAAAGAAAAGTCTAACTCGCGTATGATATATTCCATCCTCACATTTCTGGGAACGGAATTTGAAACAGCTTTTCCTTTGTGATAGTTTATAAAATCAACTTTCAATTACCTGTCACGTTAAGAGCTACATTCGTTTCTTCTGTTGACAATTTGTTCTTGGCAGTTAGTTTGTATACACCTTGATGTTCTGGTTTCACTTCGGGAATAGAATATACATGTCGTGTACCTTCAACACTAGTGAACTTCACTTCTTTACCATCTTTTGTTAATTGTACTTTAGGTGCTTCTTTTCCACCTACATCAAATGAAATCTCAAATGGTTCACCAACTTTCAAATCAACAACATCTGATGTTGGAGATGCTTTGGTCAATTTTACTGGTTCCAATACAGTTAATACACATGGTGTTGATTCGGTTTCTCCAAGATCATTCTTTAATATTACTCGATATGTTCCTTCACTTGTTGCAACAGTTGGTTGT